AGAATATTGTATACATAATAAATAAATAAATATTTAAAAAAAGGAAGGAAGGAAAGAAAAGACTGAGATCCCTAGTAAGACAGATGTTTAAGAAAAGAAAGGAAGGAAGAAAAGAAAAGCAGGGCTGCATATACACACCTTTAATCCTAGCACTTGGGAGGCAGAGGCAGGTGGATTTCTGAGCTGGAGGCCAGCCTACTCTATATGGCAAGTTCCAGACCAGCTAAAGCTACATAGTGAGACCCTATCTCAAAAACAAAACAACAACAACAAAAAAAACAATGTACTTGTTTACTATTGTGTGTTGATGTATGTATACATACATGCATATGTCACAATGCCTGTGTGGAGGTCAAAGGACAACTTTTGTGAATTGATGTTCTCCTTGTACCACATAGGTTCTGAGGATAGAACTCAGGTTGTCCACCTTGAGTGACAAGTGTTTCACCTGCTGGCCATCTCTCGGACTCCAGATTTTTCTTTGCACTCTCCTGTGGTACTCCTCGCCAAGCAGATTTCCCACAGAATGCCAGGCATACAAGGTCTTCAGTGAGAAGGGAGGGGAGCCAGTGTTCCTGCATTTACCACCTTTTCAGGGAAGAGTGAGGGGACAGGAAAGGTGGCCTCTGCGCTTCTGCCGTTTTCTGTTTCTAAGCCCCATTCTTTGCATTATACTTCTTTTGGACATGGCTGTTCTAGATGCAGCATGGCCTAAGGATGGAAGAAAGAGGGTAGATGGAAAATTCCTGCTGCCTGAGTGGTTTCTCTAGGTTCCACTTTCCCCTTTTCTGTATAAAGGGGATAGATTTGGGGCAGTGGCACTTCTGTGATCAGGCTGAAGGTCTGTATGCTCCCCAATCTTTTTTTCTCATCCCTGTTGCAAAGAGGGGCTTCTTGTTAGTCCCAGCCACCCAGCTAGCTTAGCCCCAAAATAACTACACAGAAGCTGTATTATTAAATCACTGCTTGGCCCATTAGCTCTAGCCTCTTATTGGCTAACTCTCACATCTTGATTTAACCCATTTCTATTAATCTGTATATTGCCACATGGCAGTGGCTTACCAGGAAAGATTCAGCATGTCTGACTCTGGCGGCTCCATGGCGGCGCTCTCTCTCTCTCTCTCTCTCTCTCTCTCTCTCTCTCTCTCTCTCTCTGCTTTCTTGCTCCCAGCATTCAGTTCTTTCTTCACCTACCTAAGTTCTCCCCTATCAGGCCAAGGCAGTTTCTTTATTCATTAACCAATACAAGCAACACATAGAAGGACCTCTTACACCACTTCCCGTTCCTCCAGCCTGGACTCTTCTTCTTGCAGGTAGCTCCCACCCAATCTCCCAGGAATCCCTCCTGACTGTGTGCTCACTCACTCTCTTGTGCATCCATTCCCAGGGATGGGAGGGCCGCTTGCGGCCAGCCCTACACCTGAACCAGGAAGCCAGGAGCCAGAAAGCCAGGCATCTGCACAAGCCCCAGACCTCAGAGCCTAGTGCGAGAGATAAACATAGTCAGTCACTCCAGCTTCATGGGCAAACATCTGTGAGAGGTAAGAACTAGTCCTCTGGGAAATCCAGAGTCCACCTCAGACCCTAGCACCACCTTGGGCCTCTGAGTTTCCCAGCACTTTCGGGCCCAGGTCTCAGGCTTGGTGACCAGGTCATACAGTAATGAGCTCAAAGGGCACGGTCCACATGTTCACAGGGGTGCAGTGATGGGAGGGTGGGGTGGATCCTAGCATTCCCTGTCGTGCTGAAGCTATGATGTGTTTGGGCTGTGTCACATGTAGCATGGCTCCAGACTTGGACCTGCCCAGGAGCAGAGACAGTGTGATGCCAGGACAGACACAAAGCAAAGCTGGGGTTGGGACTCTCTAGACCACAGCATCTCAGAAGCTCCGCATTTCTATAGAGGGCTGGGCAGGGGGGCAAGGTCATTATAAATACATAGGGAGACTGGGCTTATGGTCTACCAGTGGACATAGGAGACAAGTTTAGCTAGGTAGGCACAGTCTCAGTAGGGGGCAATACTCAGGCTGTAAACATCCATGGGGAGAAAGCTATGGTGGGAATAGTCTGAATATACTGTCAACATCCGTGCTTAGTGCCGCAAGGGAGACTTTGCCATTTTCCTCTGGGCCGAGACTCTGGAGTCCTTGATAGTCTGTGCCCATATCAATAGCATCCATTCATTCAGTACTCCACTTACTTGGGGCTTCCTCTGTTCCCTTCAGGTAGAAGACTCATTCCTATACAGCAAAGGGGCCTGGGGCACACAGATTCTCTGGAGGCAGGGTCGCCATGGGACTGGGTAGGTAGAAGTGAGGCTAGATGAGGCTGGCTAAGACATGCAGAGCCAGGGTCTAAAAGGCCTGTCACTCAGGATTTCTCCCTAAAATCAGAGGTGGATTTTGGATTTGGAACACCCAGACAGGCCAGGGGGTTTATAAGGTTCTCCTGGCAATAGCGACATCACTTTAGCTGACCCTGGTTCCTCTTTCAGCCCCAGGAGTTGTGGGGATGGCACACCTGCTAGGCGGCCAGGCCTGCATGGACAGCCTGCGCAAGGACCTCACAGACCTACAGGGCACCATTGTGGATGTGTTCTCCCACGCTGGGCCTGTGCGCTTCCCATCCTGGAAGTTCCCTGACCGTGTGGCCTGTGACCTTGACATGGTGGCCCTTCTGGAGCACTATGACCATGTGCCAGGTGACCCTGAGTTCACGCAGTTGTCCCATGCTGTGCTGCTGGAGCTGGTCATTGACAGGTGAGGCCTGGATCAAATCTGGACATCTAAAGATGCCAAAACCTGCCCCTTTGTAGCAGCTGCAGGAGCCCTTTCAACCCATCAACTGTGAAGTGAATATACAGGTCGGGCCACAACTCAGGACCTTTGTTTCTTTTTTCTTTCTGTTTTTTTTGTTTTGTTTTGTTTTGTTTTGATTTGATTTTTGTTTTTCTTTTTTTTTTTTTTTTTAAGACAGGGTTTCAAGACACAGTAACAGCCCTACCTGCCTGGAACTAGCGCTGTAGACCAGGCTGGTCTCCAACTCACAGAGATCTGCTTGCCTCTGCCTCCTGAGTGCTGAGATTAAAGGCATATGCAACCACAGCCCCGACTTCTGCAACACCATCTTTTATTCTGTGCTGTACTCTGCTGCCCTATCCTGTCTACCTCAGGAAGTTCTGTCTTTATCCCCACTCCGCCCTCTGCTGTTGGTTCCCATAATACCATAATACCTGCTATCCCCTCAGGTTTCTGTGTGGCAGGAACACTATAGCTGCTGCTTAGCATTTTCATCCCAGCTTCTGGCGTTTTGTGAGCTGTGTTCCCTCTGTGCTTCTCAAGGCCAGAAACGGGGTGGGGGATGTTTTTCCCACCCTTGGCCCTGCTAGGCAAAGGCCAGTTGCTGCTCTGTCACCCCACCACCTCTACACTGTCATTAAAATTTCCTCCTGGGAACCACTCAGAAACTGCACCTCCGCAGGGCTGGACTGCTGTGAGTGCAGAGCACTTCCTTTCCCAGGGCAGGCAGCAAAGCCAGCCCTGCCAACCCCTTCCTGCTCTGACAGAACACCCCTTTACCCACCAGGGCCCCATCACTCACCCCTTTCCTGTAAAGCTGTTGCTGGCATACCTCCCGACCCTCACACCCCAGCTGAGCATTGTTTACTTCTGAGTTAGTACTAGCTTCCTTTGTGTATAAGTGACTCCTGGGTATAAAAGTAACTCCTGCCAGAGACAACTGAATCTAAGCTTAGCTTGGGAACCCTAGAGTGAAGGCCGTGGCCTCTAGCCAACAGTGTGAGTGTGACATTTTAAGACGCTCAGGACATGTCAATGATGGGACCATGGCTAAGGCTACATGTATCACAGCATCCCCCACCACAGGTGGCTGTCTGAGAACACAGACTGATCAGCTAAATTCCCTGCTGGGTCCTAGTTCCCCAGTGTTATTGTCCACATGGCCCAGAGGGTGGGCCTGGAGGCAGTAGCTACCTCCTCCTCAAGGCCTCGGAGCCTCCTGCTACCCCTACCTCCTGTAACAAGATAAGTTCACTTAGCTTCCAGCTGTGTGTTGCAAACATACAATTCTATCTTTTAAGATAAGTCTTGGCTATGCCTAGGCACACTTTCCAACACCCCCTTTCCCTAGCATTAGCTTGACTCTAAATTTGAACTTGGAGGTTAGCTGTCTGCACCCCATCTCAGTTGTCACAGAGGTTGCTCAGCCTGGAAGAGGCAACTCTGACTGGAACCATGAAAATGCGTACATGCCCTTGCCCTGCCCCGCTTACCCTGTGACTTTGGGATGTTCTTGCTGTTTAGGGGTTTCATTTGTAAAAGTGAGGCACTACTTACCTAGGACTTTCTGAGCCAGGCTGCCTTTCTTCAGCTCCTTAGTCAAGTGGGGAACCATGAAGCAGAAGGTACTTCCATCCAGGAAGCCACAAGAGGGCACCAGCTTGGAGGTGGCCCCTGGTTTGAGCATGAAGCTCAAATGAACTCTCTCTAGGTCCTTGATGTCCAAGTCAATCCCCAGAGCTCAAAGCCCCCCGTTGTATGAAGACTCTATTAGACCAGCATTGGCCCCAGGCCACCCAGCAACTCTGCCCACAGGCTCCTGCTGCTGCTTCAGAGCTGTGCCAGCTACCTGGAAAACCTCAGTCTGGATCAGATGGTGCCTCCTGCCCGAGTTGCAGGGCCATGCATGTCTGTGGGGCTCACAGTGCGGCGCTTCTGGAACAACCTGCTGAGGCTGGGCATGCTATACCAGCAGGCAGTGCCCCAGGTGGGTCATCTTAGCCCCTAACTGTGGTCTCCCTCACATACTGTTCCTATTTTAGCTTCTTACCACGCCACCGCACCCGCTGGTCCTTTGCTGACTCTCCACTGCCCAGCTGGGGCACTCAAACTCTAGAGCCCCCCCCCATTCAAGTCCCATGACCTTGGCAATGAAGAAAGCAGACCTTGGGGTCAAGTCTGGCTCCCTGGCTTTGCTGTTTACACACTGAACCTCAGTTTGTTCATCTACACAGCAGGTTTTCTAACAGGTTATCCTTTAATCCTCACAGTTGCCCTGAGAGGAAGGGAGAGGAGTCTAAAACAGAGTGGTTACAGTGGCATGAGAGCAAGCAAGAGCCCGGGAAGTCTGGAGAGGTGGCTTAGAGGTTAAGAGCACTGGCAGCTCTTCCAGAGGTCCTGAGTTCAATTCCCAGCAACCACATGGTGGCTCACAACCATCTGTAATGAGATCTAACGCCTTCTTCTGGCCTGCAGGAATATATGCAGACAGAATACTGTAAACATAACAAATAAATCATTTTATAAAAAAAGAATTGGCTGTAACTGCCACCATTACCCTCCCAGTTCCATGCATATTTAACCATGCAAAGCCTGGGATTAGAGCAGGGAGAGCAGAAAGGAGGGCAGGGCTGGGTTGAATCAGAGAGAAAAGGGAGAAAGTTCTCTGTGATTTGTGTGGGTGTCACTTAACATCTGAAGGTCTGATCACAGGGCAAGGCTGTCATGAGCATCTCCAGGGGACTGGTTACCTCTCATGTCCATCTCTCTCACCTGCCTTCCCTTTCTTTTCCTGACCCCAGAAAAGAGCAAACCAAGGGGAGATTCCCATCGGCAAGCCCACGGTGAAGGGTGAACCAGCCAGGAGCCCCGAATGCATGACTGCCAAGTTCATCAAGCCTCCTTCCCCAGTGCCAGGCTTGCCCTTGATCTGCCAAGGGCTGCAGAGCATCCCTGTCAGAGTCTCCTTGCGGGGCCCAGCTGGGACCACCGAGAAAACCAAAAGCGTCCACTCCCAGACCATCGAGACAGCCTTGGTGCCCTGTGATGCTTGCACCAGTGTCCAGGGCAGCTTGTGGGAGGTGGGCAAGGTGGTCATCAGCCTGTGTCAGAGCCAGAACCTGCCTTCGTCCTTGGGCCAGTTCCAGAAGCTGGTGCAGGACAGCATGGGGCGCAAACCACTGCCAGCTGCCACCATGGGCCACTGGGCAGCAGAACAGAGTAAAGACCTGACTCGTCTCAATAAGCACGTGGGAGCCCTCACCCAACTTATCGGGCCCCTCAGGGCCCAGCTGGAAGAGGCTGAGGGCCAGAAGGACGGGCTACGGAAGCAAGTGGGCAAGCTGGAGCAGGCTCTGCAGCAGGAGAGAGGAGCATGGCAGCGGCAGACAGAGGAGGCTGAGCGGAGCCTGGCCGAGTGCGAGCGTGACAGGCAACAGCTAATCGCAGGTTACTCCCCAGAGGCTAGATACTGCCATAACCTTAGGACAATCATCCCTCCTCCCCGTCAGAGAGCAGGGCGAATCCCAGTAGAATGCATGGAAGAGACCTAGGAAAGAAAGGCGGCAAGAAGGGTGTAGACATCCATTGGCCTGTGAGCAGGGGATACCTGGAGGCTTGCGTACCACCTGAGCCTCAGGCTTGTCGCCTCAGAAGGGGAGAGGGTTGGGATGTTCATCTAACATTCACTCAATAATGGTCACTAAAAGTACCTGCAGGAAGCTCCCCCTATCCCCAGCACCTCTGCCTCAACAGAGCAGCCTCTTGGCTTTGGCAAAAGCTCTTGGACAGACACAAGGTACCGCTGTCCACTGTTACCAACTGAGGGCTTAGGGCAAGAAGTCACTGTGCTTTCTGAGCCTCTCCACTGCCTCCACGCAGATCACCGGGTCCAGAGAGGCACAGGTAATCCAGCAGCCAGTGGAGCATGCCAGGGCCCAAGGCCTCCTAGGATTAGCCCAGCCCCACCTTGGCAACTCAAGCAGCCCTTGCACACTGGATGGTTGCCTCTACTCTATAGGGTTCACTGGGCTTAAAGGCCACAGGCCCAAGTGATCCACTGAAAGGCCTTTCTCTTGGCTGCCACAGAAACGTGTGGCCTAAAGGCAAAGGTGACCAATCTGGAGGGAGACCTGGAGCAGCAGCAGAAGTCCATGCAGGCCATGGGTAAGAAGCCCCTTTGTGTGACCCCATCCACATCTCCAACTCTTTGTATAGCTGGACGTGTACCTCCGTTTCCATCCAAAGCTTCTAGGGCGGAGAGTGGGAACCACAGGAGAATGGTTCTGACTCTAGGCTGAAGGTGATGGTCCAGGCTAGAGTCTCAATTTCAGGGGGCAGAAAGTGCCTTCTGTAGTCCAGACCCGCCTCATGTGGTCCAGAGCCCCGTGCTGTGATCTGTGACCTCTGCTTAGTCCCAGTCAGAGACTCACCCAGAGCTCCCTTCCCCTGCCCCCTGTGTACCTGCTCTCTCAATCCTGCAGTGGCAAAGACCCAGCAGCTGGAGGAGGAAGGTAAGCGGAGGGCAGCAGCTGAGAAGCAAGTGCAGCAGCTGGAGGAGCAAGTGCAGCTGCTGGCAGGGCGGCTGGATGGGGCTGGGCAGCAGATCCGCTGGGCCAGCACAGAGCTGGACAAAGAGAAGGCCCGAGTTGACAGCATGGTCCGTCATCAGGAGGTAAGGGCTTCAGGCTCTGCAGCCCTCTTATCCCTGTTCCCTGCCACAATGGGAGGAGGTGGATACTCTGTTGTTCCCTATTTTATGAATGGAGAAACTGAAGCGTAGTGAGGTTCAACAAGTTTCCCCAGGGCATACAACTACCAAGAGGTAGAGCCAGGTCTCTCTCTTTATATTCAGTGTGTGCCAGGATATTTGGGTTTCTTTTGTTTTGGCGGAGGGGTTCAAGACAGGGTTTCTCTGGGTAGCCCTGGCTGTCCTGGAACTCACTTTGTAGACCAGGCTGCTCTCAAACTCAGAGATCTGCCTGCCTCTGCCTCCCAAGTGCTGGAATTAAAGGTGTGCGCCATCATTGCCCAGCTGTTTTGTTCATTTGTTTGTTTGTTTGTTTGGTGTGGGGGGAGTGATACTTAGTGACACAGGAAAATATGACACTGGAGACTTGATGAAAAGAAACAAAACTTGTTTCCCAGAATCCTTTTTGAATGAGTGGAAAGAAGGGGTCATCCACTGCTTTCTCAACAGTGGGTCTTGGTGTTGTCCCAATCAAATGTGCATCTGCCTGCTGCCTTCCTTCTGCAGTTGAGCATCTGTGCTCTGATCTCTGCATCCAAACATAGCACAGAGGGTCACAGATACCACACCGCAGCTTCCTTAGTCCCAGATGGCTAGTTGAGCCCCTGGGTCCTTTTATCTGCCCTGCCTATTCATTTCCATTCAGTCCCTGCAGGCCAAGCAGAGGACTCTGCTCCAGCAGCTGGACAGTCTGGACCAGGAGCGGGAAGAGCTGCGGGGAAGTCTGGATGAGGCTGAGGCCCAGCGAGCTGAGTTGGAGGAGCAGCTGCAGAGCCTCCACAGCGACAGGGAACAGGGACAGTGCCAGCTACAGGCACAGCAGGTGCAGTGGGGTAGGGTGAGAGAGAGGGCAGCCCTCTTATCTGAGGAGCCTCTAACCTGTTGTGTATCCCTGGACCTGTGTGTCCCCAAGGGAGCTTTGAGCCAGGGCTAAGCTCTTCTTTGCCCCAGGAACTACTGCAGAGCCTGCAGCGGGAGAAGCAGGAGCTGGAGCAAGTAACTACAGACCTGCAGCTGACCATCTCGGAGCTGCAACGGGAGCTAGAGGAACTAAAGGAGCGGGAGCGACTGCTGGTGGCCTTCCCAGACCTGCACCAGCCCACGGAGGCCCAGATTCAAAGTAGGGGCCTAGGGTACTGTGAGGGCAGGGTGGGGCCTGGCTGGGCATAGGCTTGCCTGGATGTGATCGGGTACTGTTCTCACCCTCAGCAAGAGGAGACTGGGGGCAGAAGGTGAGCTGTGGTTCTAGAGACGACATGATCCACAGGTGTCCCGTGCTGTTCACTCCTCTGTGGAGACAACGGCAAAGTGACTGTACCTCTCACCCTAGTGCAGTGTTCTCAGCCTTCCTGATGCTGTGCTGACCCCAGCCATATAATGCTACTTCATAACTGCAATCCTACTGCAATGAATTATAACGTGAATATCTGGTATGAAGGAGATCTCTATGCAGCTCCTGTGAAAGGGCCATTTGGCTTCCAGAGGAGTCACAACCCACAGGCTGAGAACAGCTGCCCTAGTGGAACTGAGGCATGTCTTCCCTTAGCACATGTCCTCCACAGCACACACCAGTCCTGGCTCAGCTTCCCTAGGTTGCCCTTCCTGGTGTCATACAGCATAGGACCATCTTGCTAGGACATATCCCCAGCTGTTCAGTGTCTTGGACCCCATGGTTAGGAGCATAGGGCATCTACACTGGTACAGGATCCTGCCAGGCAATCTCTGCTCTCCCACCAGCTCTCCTAGACTTCTCAGGCCCTGGGATGGGTGGGTCCACTGTGGCTCAGCTGTCAGTGAGTCATCACTCCTGAGGGCTACACGTCAAACCCTTGCTGCCCACAACTGCCTCATGGGCTCGCCTGGACTTTCTTGTTAAAAACTTTTTTTGCACCTTTAGTGTGTGTGTATGTGTGTGTACCTGCCGTGGCACAAGTGTGGTCAGAAGACAGATGTAGAAGTTGGTTCTCTCATTTTGCCATATGGGTACAGGAGTTCAGGGACCACACTCTGGTGGTCAGGCTTGGTTTCGATCTTTCCTTACCTGCTGAGCCATCTCACTAGCCCTACAAATGTTTGTTTTTTAAATTTTTTCTGTATGGCTATTTTGA